TAAGGTCGATTAAAAGTGAAATTTATGAAAAGCCTTACTCATAACGTGACGCCATCTTGGATTTGTGTTCTATCAGACCCTTAAAAGAATTATTTAAATTAATATAAAGTATGGAAATTAACCTCTATCTACCCTAATAGGATTGTAAAGCTATAGCAGTTAGAAATGCTCAAGCACAATAAGCTTTTCCATTTCCCATGCGAGATTTTATTTAAAATGGATTATAAAATGGAAACTTTTTAAATTTCACGTACCTACTGGCCAATTTCGTTGATTTAACATGACATGGACATAATTTATGGGCAATAATGGGTTATAGAAACCATATGATTATTACTGAAACGTTTTTATTAACAATAAAAAGAAATTGAATAGCAGAAAAAACATATAACTGTTTCATTCGAATATCACAAGACACTCGTTTGATAGTTTTACGGCGAGTGCCTTCCTTGAACTTTGAAGCATTTCCAGATTGAACTGGTTTCTCGTTTAAATTATCACACATGCTTGCATTTACACAGCGCAGTTCATTATTTTAATTTATACTTTTAACCTGTTACGTTTGGTAAAACTACCGGCTTTCTATCATGAAATCTCAAAGTTCCTATTCATATTAATTTTTACAATATACAAATTAATTTCTTATTAAGGACCACGTAACTTTATTGTCGAGGAGTCAACCAACCGACAAAAAGGAAATATAATGATACGTACGTTGAAGAGAATGCGCATTTAGGTCTATACATACGGTAGAATCCGCTTATAGTGACATCGAAGGAAAATGACAAACACGTCATACTAAGCGGGCGTAATACAAAACATAGTATTAGAAAATAAACAACTTTCTATTTTGGTTAGTTATTTAGTTTAATAGAGAGAAAAACTACAAACTGTATATATTTATTAACAGAAAAAGAAANTTATTTCAATTGTTTTTATAAGTTCGATTTGTGTTTGTTAATTTAACGAATTAGTAATATAGTAATAAATGCGACAAGCGGGTTTCATCACGTACAGGAAAATCCATAATGATTTATCATTTTTTAACTTGTGGATATAAGGAGAGGTCCCTATAAATCAGAACCAAATTTAACTTTTTAAAGAATGGTACAAAAATAAAAGGAAAGCTCTTCGACTGACTTAAGCTTGTTCAAGGCACGCCCATTGGCTTTTGATTCCCGCCCCATGCTATTCAGCGGAACAAGAGAAAGAGACAAAAGCTGCTTCAGGAATATCAAGTTGTTAAGCACAGGACCTATACACACAGGTAAGGTATTTACTTGCCCTACGAACTTTTTGTATGTCTATATATATGCAGTACGTATGTATGTGGTATGTATACATACAATTCAGACATAATATGGACTTAAAAACGTCAACGGAAAACAAGTTTTCACTGGACGTCGTCTAATCAAAACAAAGGAAGAATTATGCCATTAAAGAATGAATATTCAATTGTATTCTAATACTGAATATTTTTTAAATACTTTGGAAACTCTTGAAGAAAACGGCCTATATACAAAACTTTTAAATGAATGAGAGCTCCAGACCAAAATCGCTCCAAAATTTTTTTCATCGATTTCTGGTTATTTCTGAGGGTTCAATGATTATATTTGAGGCGGGAGAGACACCTTTATTTTTAGTACAGCATCCATCATAGGGTATATGGTGATGTATAGTTATTTCTTTTTTAATATTAATAAATGAATTTTACGCCCTTGATCTCCCCACTCATCTCTTCCCGTACATACAGTAAATCATAAGTAGCATTTTCTATTTATGAAGTCATAAAAAACTGTCTCTTCCACCTTCTAATATCTAATTCTATTATGTAAAATGGCCGGAAATCTATGAAAAAATTTTTGGAGCGATTTTGATCTGGAGCTCCAATTCTGAACAATTACTAAAAGCTATGATAAAACGAGAAATGTAACAAATATGATTCGAAATCTGATTTCGTTGCTTTTACTCGGCTTGAAGGACTACTTAGAGATTAAGTCTTAACTTCAATGAAAAGCAGTTTATTTATACAAGATATACATAGGGAAGGATGTAATCAAGAACTAAATTAAAATCCGAAATTTTGTTGGCTATACGGTATCTAAGTTATAGATAAGAAAACCGGCACAGAAAAACTAAGGTCATCAATTTATTATCTACCTTAGCTTATTGTAAGGGAAACTGGAGAAACCTTCAGTATTTTACAGTATATTATACCAAACGCTTCTACTAATTTAACATTGATGTATTTTGGTAATAAATGTATCAAATTTTATCCTTTTGTAAACAGTACACGCAAAATTCTTCCCACTAGAACAGTTGCTTCTTCACAAGGCCTTATTATGATTTAATAGCTGTTTTTAAAACTGGAAACTACTTTCTTCCGCTTAATTTCGTTTCTTCATAGAGATCATTACTGATTTATTAATTAATTGGGCGATTTAAATCTTAAGAAGAGTTTAAATTCGCAGTTGTAAGGTCATCTGTATGCGAATAAAAGATAAGAAACGAACCGAACATCAAAGAGAGTTTTTCTTTGGATGTCTGTACGGACTAAAATTTGTACCGATTTCAATGAGATTTTACAAACATGAACAGGATGTTGTCGCAAGTGATCTGGTCTACTTTTTTTCAATTGTTTATTGACTATAACATGTGCTCTTATTATAAAAAATTAGAAAGTTTTACGCAGACAATGTCGTGGGAAACATACTATTTATATCGTCTGATCGGATGACGCAATACCCTCCCCTCACTCGGCTACCCCCGCGTACCCATTAACATCTTGAATGTAATACATTTCCGATCGCTTTTTAAGAAATGTATGGATTTTTAAGGAAATGTGTCTAATATAATTTATTTCACACATTTTCGGGTGATTGTAGGAATTAAATACATTTCCTAGGAATTGTATACAATGACGGATTACACACATTTCCGTTAACATACACACATAATCAAAGATGCATCGATATTAATCAAAATAATACACATATCTAAAAATTGTTAATTAAAATTTCATTGGGTTAGTGTTTAAACGATTTTTTAAACGGGACTTAGAGTGGTTTGGGACTTGAGAGAATGGTATTTAACGGAAAGCCTTTCAAAGCGAATAAATGTACCATTACCCTTAGTGATTTTTGCCGAATACCCCATACAGCTAATGCCTTGTACTCGATTATCCGGTATCATTATGATAAAAAGTGACAAAAATCACTATCGTTCTCGACTAATAATCTACAACAGATGCTTACAATAATAAATCTAAAAATCTATATCAGCTTCATGCCTTATTAAATTAGTTTTGACGGTGTGATTTTATTGTTCTGCATTACAAAAGACTGTTAGTTTTATTCCCATCATATTGTGTCTTTTCCTTTTATACACACATGTATATATATATATTTCTGTGACCCCTCACACGTCGTTAAAGAGTTCTAAATACTTAGAGCAGTTAAATTAATTCGAACGTAGCGCGAGACATAGGAGGTGTATGACATTTTAAGTAGTTGTAGCGGCCGGTTATTAAAAAATTAATTAGTTATGTATATTGCTTTCTGGACAGACCAGATGGTCAAAAGCACAAGTTTAGAGGTTACGTGTTGTACTGCACTGGTCAGACATCACGAGAAATTACATACGTACGATGTTGTTTGCTCTAGCATTAAAGCTTAAATGAATGCGGGAATATAATTATTACCGCTAGCCTTGGCGTTCCAACCAAAATTAAGGGAACTTTTTGCTTTTATACGCCACTAAAATTGCCTACTTGGTATAATGAAATAGCGTAATTATTTATATAATTATGTGTGTGGTGTTTCTACAACTACAAAAAATTGAAACGTTTTTGCATAATTTAGACTCCCTGTAAGGCGTCTTTATTAGCAGATTAAGAAGTTAAACACACCACACTTAGGGGGTTTCTGTGGGATAGGAATAAAAAATGGGCAATTTTAAGGAGATTGTTAGATTATAGTTCCACGTTCTTAATAAATGTCAAATTAGTGAAATCATTGAAAACTAATAGATACCAATAAATGTTGCAGCCATCAATTATTAATAAAGTTTCTACTTTTAGTAGCAGCTAATATATTAATAATTATTAAANATCACGTTTTAGTCTGATTTTTAAAATAATAAACAAAAATATCGCTATTTAACACTAGCTTCTTTTTTTCCATATAAAATTGATATGAAAACTGCGCTTACAAACGAATGATCTATCTAAGGATTAATTAGAAAATTATCTTGAAGTAAAAGTTCAGTCCGAATACAATTTTCCATTCGTTAGGTTCTTGTTGTCTTCAAAACCACTTTAAGTGAAATATCTAATCAGTGATGCCTCTGTCGGCATCACACAGCTTGTAACGTAAAAATTTATGTATTTGTAGGACTGTTTTTGTGTTAAAATAAATCTAAAAGGACTTGTACAAGTAATCTTTAGTTATGTGGTCCTAGTGTTGAGCTTGTTATGACTGATATGGTGCATTTACGTACAAAAAATACTACAAACCAAGACGTATACCATGAAAATCAGTTCTTAAAACGTTATTTAGGTTTGAGCAGGATTTCTTGGCGCGTATCCTGAAACACTTGGAGCACCGTGTCACCTGTACAGAAAATGAAAATACTTTTGCGTTATTGTGCGAACCATTTTAGATTTGTTAATAATCAGGAATGTATTAAACAAATAAAATAAAGAGCTGTTATGGAAGACACACACACATTAATTACACAATGAAAGCTTCAACTACTTTATCGAAATCGGTAGTGACTAATCTGTACCTTTTACTTTATTTATCTGAAGCATTTCTTTGCAAGGAATAGGTACACATTATGAATACGAATTGTAGCAAAAACTTTTACTTCTACCTTTTACTTGAAAATAAATATTTTATTTTTATGAATACGACCTATCACAAATCCTTGATTAATCATTATCTTCATTAGCGGTTCTTTTATACGATTTAATACAGAATTCTCTTTTCTTTCCATTTCAGCTGTGTTTTGACAATGCAACTGGCAAACCTGTGTTGGCTACTGCTAATAATCCTATTGGACTGTTGCTGTACGTTAGCGTCTATATCGATTCCTGAAGAAGCCAAAGCTGAGGTTGAAGCCAACCTTCTTTCACTGTTTGGATTTAGGAAACGACCAAAAGTAGACAGGACAAAAATCCTTATCCCTCAAGCCATGATTCAATTGTACGAAAAACAGACCAGACAACGACTTGATACCGCATCTATACCAAAACCTGGTCTATACACCAAAAGTGCCAACACCGTACGGAGTTTCACACATGTTGGTAGGTAAAGATCGCATACATTAATTTATTAAGTGTAGTTGAATCTTATAATCTAATCGCAAGATTAAGTAATTCCTTTTCTAAACCAGAAAAATGGTTTTGAAAACCAGTCAATGAGAAATGTCTTATTATATTCCGGAACAATTATTGTAGAACCAATGAACTGAATGGGTTTCTAACACAATTTCTTAGGGGTTCACGCGGCTGAAATTAATTTCCAAACTACTTAACATGTCTTGACTTGAAATTAGGTCAAGTAGTTGCATTACAAGTATTTGGAATTTCAAGCATAGGTCTTCTAGATGGCTCAAAACTACGTACTTGACTTTTTCTTTAATCATTTCATGACAACACGTTGTATCATAGCCATTTTCAAGTTAACAGTTTAGCTAAATTTTTCAACGTATAATCCTCAGTTTTCCATTTTTTGTTTTTCTTAGATTATGAACAGTTTTTACTGACGATTTCTGAGGCGGTTATATAGTATACTCTGTCTCTTCGAGCTGAAAATCAAGTAAATGTGTGCAAACTACACAAAATATCAATTTTTAGGATCAATGTTATGAATAACATTTTGCAGTTCGTTAACTTCTGTTGTCTGTCGTAATTACTTGTACAAAATTTTGTTAAGTCGTATTAGAAGTGAATTGTTACAAATAAAATGGGCAGAAATTTCATTGTACCCTATCACACTAAAGAAAGATCTATCATCTACAGTGAAATGAATTTTTGAGCTGGATTTCTTTAGAAAATGATTAACCCCTTGGTGCCCATCCATTCACACATGACAATATCTAAATTTTGCTGCTGTATGCCAATGATATCTTATGTGGATATATATAACATTTTAGAAGATAATGCTTGTTTTGGTAGTGTCGGCTACTACATTTAATTAGTGTAAATAATAATAATAGACTTTATTAAACTATCCTGGAAATTCATCAGTACAGATAGAATAGATGACAGAAGATCATAAGAATGTGATAGCTTCATTTACTATGCCTATGATATTTTTTTTCTTTACTAAAGTGATGTCCATGCTATACTGAATTGAAAATATTAAGTGTGCGAACTTTATTTTTCTGGTAAAGTTGTATAAAACTAGATTTCAGAAATAGCATTGAGCCTCAAGGGGTTAATGGTATTATGTGCTGCCTCAAATATTTTCATTGTGAAACTTTTTAAATTGCGCTTGGGGTTGACATCAAATAGTTTGAAATTACTTGGTTTCAAGTCAAATAACAGGGATGGAGAATCGAGTTAGTCAATTAGTCGATTTTCGAAAAGTTTAGTTTTGAAATTAGATCAAATAATTTGCAAAAAACATTTAGCTAGTTGATTTGATGAATCCTTAACAGTGTTATAGTCTTTATGAAAAGAGGAGGATATAAACTAGCATTTGCACCCCGTTGAATAGTACATGTTATATTATATAATGGATTAGAAAAGACTTTTCTAACTCCTAATGCCTGTAGAGAGCACGACTTGGAAACGTGACCAGTTATTAAGAACAGGTCGTTTTACACTTGAAACCTACTACTAGTGAATGTAATGCAATGTAATTAAATATCTCTTTTAATCTTTCTTTAGCCTTTATTTACGTACATATAAACATACGTAAGTGCATACCACATCCTACTATGCATATGCTTTATGCATGCAAACTTATTATTATGGGCTATTTATAGATATCACTCTAGTTGCACACGAACACTGATTTACCATAATCTGTGAATTATTTTCATGATAAAAGTTGACGTATATATGCACACGTGCAAGTGCAAAAAGCGATACTAAATAATTGCTTTTCTAATTTCAAAAAGTCAAAGTAACATCTCAACGTTTTAGAATCTTTGATGGAATCATGCACCTGAACCCAGTATTAAGTACTCAATACGTTATGAATTATATCTTTTTATTTAAGTAAAATTTGACTTCATGTAGAACATTGGTTTATTATTAAAGTTTAAAATGATAATCTAATAAAATTCATATGATTTAGGGAATTATAATATTTCACAAATAATCTTGCCATTCTGAAAAAGAAGCTGAAGATCTTCTGCTATACCCTCCACTTTGCAGTATACTACAGGTTAGCGGAGAGACTTCTTAACATTCAACTTTTTTATACTATTGTTTTCATTTTTTAATGTTAAAAACTCTGCACAAAATTATTTGAAATTACCAGGTTTGCTTATTTTTACTACCAGAACGTCTTTCATTTGCTATCTACAATCAAACAACGTATAAATAACGTGAATTCTCAAGTACCAGCGTACCCTCAAAAATAAAAGCGTCTCTATTTTTCCATATTACAGTGCGGTACTTTTGCCCCTTGTGATTTTATACAAAATCGGTTTTTTTTGTCTAAACGCTTATTCAATTACCTCAAATAAATAATTAGATAATTTTAAAAGGTCATTGTGAAATCTCTGCACTAGTTGTTACTCGATCTATTAAAACTAACCCACTATTTTCAAGAACTGTCTCATATACTTTGATTCTGTGGAAATGCAACGTGAAAAATTAGAAAATTGCTTCATCGAATACGTAAAGCTCGAGTTTATTACGATAGTTTAGCGAGTAATTAGGTGGAAATTTATTAATTCCTTAAATAATACTTTATCTTAGTACATCCTCACAATTTCAAGAATTGTTTTTCCGACAACAGTTATCTTATCAAAATTTTTCATTATATAATATTAATAAGAATGCATATTGATAGCGACTGCTTAATTTAATGAAAATTTTTTAATTTTCATTAAATTTGCAATCCATTTGCGGTAATAGTATCAGGAAAATAATTTACCGTACTAATTTATTATTTATTGCTAGAATATCTTTTGGTAAATTTGATTTTTGGAATGCCCTTCTGCAAAATGACTTAAACTCTGAAGACATACGACTTTCTTTTAGGTTTTAAAATAAATTTTCTAACCATGTTACTTCTACTATGTATATTTCTGGGTCCGCACAATTAATGCACAAAGTCGTTCTGATATTTGTTCTTGGAATAATTAGACTAATGCAACAACAATTAATTACACCTATAAGTGTTGTAGATGTAAGAATTCTTTGAAGTTGTGGTAATTATCCATTAAATATGTCATTGGGACTATTAATTTTTAAGATTAACGGGTAGAGAATCGATCATTTTAAACAGGTAGAAAAGTAATAAAACCAATGATTTTCTAATTTTGAGTAAGACCCTTTAGAAAGTTGGTACGTAATTTTTGTTACCTGGAGGTAATTATTTCATCAATACAACATTCTGATGCAAGGCAAAAACGTTACTCAATCAAATCATAATCGATGTTTATTAAGCTCAACAAAAGGATTTGAAATTGCAGAATTTTAAGATAACAACCTGGTAATTGAAATTACTTTTCTCTTTATTTGTTTACGACATTAGGCAGATAATTTTCGACACTACCTGACAAATTAGGAAAAATAGTAATTTACGGGATCCTCATTCTGTGTAGAATTAACTTCCTTCTAATTTAGAGAAGATAAAACTCGCTATCTACATAAAACGTAATCACTTGCTATTAAGGTCATCATCAAATTGTGATATCAAACAAAGATAACCTTTATAATGTAAAAGTATTTCACTAAGTTAAGTTTCTCTTTGTTACAGAAAGTCCGATTGACAATCAGTTTCCCAGCCATCATAAATTTCGAGTTAGCTTCGATATTTCCACCATTCCAAAAACAGAGAAGTTGAAGGCAGCAGAACTGACCTTCAGCCGTGACCCTATTAACTGGACATTGCCTCAAACGGGCAAAACGCATACTTACTATCAACGCATTCTGGTAAAAGACATCCTGAAGCCAGGCAACGGAAAAAAACAAGGACCAATCACGAGGTTGATAGATTCCAAAGTAATTGACACGAGGCAAAGTAGCATCGTCAGTGTTGACGTGCTTCCCGCTGTAACAAGGTGGTTAGAGTTCCCTATGCAAAATTATGGTCTCCTAATTCAAGTCCTCGGCCCGAAAGACAAGAAAACCCTTCCCGTTCGACACCTTCGGTTACGAAGGGATCTGAACGAGAACGACATCAACTGGAGTCGTACGCAACCATTGCTATTTACTTATACTGACGATGGTAAGAATAAACAAGCCCTTGGCGAAGAACTGGCGCAGAAAAGGTCGAGAAGAGCGATGAACAAGAAACACAGAAGGAAAAGTGAAAAGTGTAAAAGGCACCCCATGTACGTGGACTTCGCGGAAGTCGGATGGAATGATTGGATCGTGGCACCACCCGGTTATGACGCTTATTATTGCCACGGCGAATGTTCTTACCCGATGGCAGAGCATTTGAACACGACAAATCACGCGATCGTGCAAAGTCTTGTAAATTCCGCGAATCCTAGCAAAGTGCCGAAAGCCTGTTGCGTACCGACGCAACTTAATTCGATATCGATGTTGTACTTAGACGAAGATCAGAAAGTTGTACTGAAGAATTACAAAGAGATGACTGTGGTAGGTTGCGGGTGCCGGTAGTGCACAGATTCCAACGGTATCTTGTCAACTCTCACTGTGATCTTATTTTTTTAGTCTACCACACGGACAAAACTGTGCGTTACTGTTTATAACAGTGTAAATTGTTCGAAAAGAAGCGAAAGCCTTGTGCTCACGACAAAACCTTAAGTATCTGTGTGTGGCATTCCCCCAGTGAATTATGAAAAACAAAAAAAGAATGACAAAAAACGAAAAATGTTTCGTGACATTTCTTAAATCGCGATGCATTGCTGGAAATCATCGTGTTTGGAGCTGTGATTTATTATTGTTAAGGATAATTTTATATATTTTATTTATGTTGTAAATAAACTTGAGCGGCGTGTTTCAAGGCGTACGACGTTTATATGTAAATAGACAGTGACACCTGCGGTATGAAATAAACAAAATCGAAATAATTCATACTTGAAACAGAAGGTGTTTACAAAAGTATTTATTATTGCAATACCTTGAATAGTGTCATTATTCAAAATGAGTCATTGTAATATATTAGTACCTGGTTAGGATATATTTATTACCTAGTTTGTGAGATTGTTCATAGTGTACAGAGACCACCTGTGTATAATGCTTTAGTCTAGGATAATTTTGTACAGGCTGTATATATAATTACAGAAATATATATTATATTCAAGCATTAACTGTTCTTTCTATTATTAGTATGTGGTGTATTAAAGGAAAAATTTCTAACAAACTTACCGATGCCTGCTTCCTACTTCGTTCCGCATGAATTTTAGGTGAATTCTTCATCTCTGCTATGGACGATGAACATGGTTATATAGTATACTCTGTCTCTTCGAGCTGAAAATCAAGTAAATGTGTGCAAACTACACAAAATATCAATTTTTAGGATCAATGTTATGAATAACATTTTGCAGTTCGTTAACTTCTGTTGTCTGTCGTAATTACTTGTACAAAATTTTGTTAAGTCGTATTAGAAGTGAATTGTTACAAATAAAATGGGCAGAAATTTCATTGTACCCTATCACACTAAAGAAAGATCTATCATCTACAGTGAAATGAATTTTTGAGCTGGATTTCTTTAGAAAATGATTAACCCCTTGGTGCCCATCCATTCACACATGACAATATCTAAATTTTGCTGCTGTATGCCAATGATATCTTATGTGGATATATATAACATTTTAGAAGATAATGCTTGTTTTGGTAGTGTCGGCTACTACATTTAATTAGTGTAAATAATAATAATAGACTTTATTAAACTATCCTGGAAATTCATCAGTACAGATAGAATAGATGACAGAAGATCATAAGAATGTGATAGCTTCATTTACTATGCCTATGATATTTTTTTTCTTTACTAAAGTGATGTCCATGCTATACTGAATTGAAAATATTAAGTGTGCGAACTTTATTTTTCTGGTAAAGTTGTATAAAACTAGATTTCAGAAATAGCATTGAGCCTCAAGGGGTTAATGGTATTATGTGCTGCCTCAAATATTTTCATTGTGAAACTTTTTAAATTGCGCTTGGGGTTGACATCAAATAGTTTGAAATTACTTGGTTTCAAGTCAAATAACAGGGATGGAGAATCGAGTTAGTCAATTAGTCGATTTTCGAAAAGTTTAGTTTTGAAATTAGATCAAATAATTTGCAAAAAACATTTAGCTAGTTGATTTGATGAATCCTTAACAGTGTTATAGTCTTTATGAAAAGAGGAGGATATAAACTAGCATTTGCACCCCGTTGAATAGTACATGTTATATTATATAATGGATTAGAAAAGACTTTTCTAACTCCTAATGCCTGTAGAGAGCACGACTTGGAAACGTGACCAGTTATTAAGAACAGGTCGTTTTACACTTGAAACCTACTANTTTTAATATTAATAAATGAATTTTACGCCCTTGATCTCCCCACTCATCTCTTCCCGTACATACAGTAAATCATAAGTAGCATTTTCTATTTATGAAGTCATAAAAAACTGTCTCTTCCACCTTCTAATATCTAATTCTATTATGTAAAATGGCCGGAAATCTATGAAAAAATTTTTGGAGCGATTTTGATCTGGAGCTCCAATTCTGAACAATTACTAAAAGCTATGATAAAACGAGAAATGTAACAAATATGATTCGAAATCTGATTTCGTTGCTTTTACTCGGCTTGAAGGACTACTTAGAGATTAAGTCTTAACTTCAATGAAAAGCAGTTTATTTATACAAGATATACATAGGGAAGGATGTAATCAAGAACTAAATTAAAATCCGAAATTTTGTTGGCTATACGGTATCTAAGTTATAGATAAGAAAACCGGCACAGAAAAACTAAGGTCATCAATTTATTATCTACCTTAGCTTATTGTAAGGGAAACTGGAGAAACCTTCAGTATTTTACAGTATATTATACCAAACGCTTCTACTAATTTAACATTGATGTATTTTGGTAATAAATGTATCAAATTTTATCCTTTTGTAAACAGTACACGCAAAATTCTTCCCACTAGAACAGTTGCTTCTTCACAAGGCCTTATTATGATTTAATAGCTGTTTTTAAAACTGGAAACTACTTTCTTCCGCTTAATTTCGTTTCTTCATAGAGATCATTACTGATTTATTAATTAATTGGGCGATTTAAATCTTAAGAAGAGTTTAAATTCGCAGTTGTAAGGTCATCTGTATGCGAATAAAAGATAAGAAACGAACCGAACATCAAAGAGAGTTTTTCTTTGGATGTCTGTACGGACTAAAATTTGTACCGATTTCAATGAGATTTTACAAACATGAACAGGATGTTGTCGCAAGTGATCTGGTCTACTTTTTTTCAATTGTTTATTGACTATAACATGTGCTCTTATTATAAAAAATTAGAAAGTTTTACGCAGACAATGTCGTGGGAAACATACTATTTATATCGTCTGATCGGATGACGCAATACCCTCCCCTCACTCGGCTACCCCCGCGTACCCATTAACATCTTGAATGTAATACATTTCCGATCGCTTTTTAAGAAATGTATGGATTTTTAAGGAAATGTGTCTAATATAATTTATTTCACACATTTTCGGGTGATTGTAGGAATTAAATACATTTCCTAGGAATTGTATACAATGACGGATTACACACATTTCCGTTAACATACACACATAATCAAAGATGCATCGATATTAATCAAAATAATACACATATCTAAAAATTGTTAATTAAAATTTCATTGGGTTAGTGTTTAAACGATTTTTTAAACGGGACTTAGAGTGGTTTGGGACTTGAGAGAATGGTATTTAACGGAAAGCCTTTCAAAGCGAATAAATGTACCATTACCCTTAGTGATTTTTGCCGAATACCCCATACAGCTAATGCCTTGTACTCGATTATCCGGTATCATTATGATAAAAAGTGACAAAAATCACTATCGTTCTCGACTAATAATCTACAACAGATGCTTACAATAATAAATCTAAAAATCTATATCAGCTTCATGCCTTATTAAATTAGTTTTGACGGTGTGATTTTATTGTTCTGCATTACAAAAGACTGTTAGTTTTATTCCCATCATATTGTGTCTTTTCCTTTTATACACACATGTATATATATATATTTCTGTGACCCCTCACACGTCGTTAAAGAGTTCTAAATACTTAGAGCAGTTAAATTAATTCGAACGTAGCGCGAGACATAGGAGGTGTATGACATTTTAAGTAGTTGTAGCGGCCGGTTATTAAAAAATTAATTAGTTATGTATATTGCTTTCTGGACAGACCAGATGGTCAAAAGCACAAGTTTAGAGGTTACGTGTTGTACTGCACTGGTCAGACATCACGAGAAATTACATACGTACGATGTTGTTTGCTCTAGCATTAAAGCTTAAATGAATGCGGGAATATAATTATTACCGCTAGCCTTGGCGTTCCAACCAAAATTAAGGGAACTTTTTGCTTTTATACGCCACTAAAATTGCCTACTTGGTATAATGAAATAGCGTAATTATTTATATAATTATGTGTGTGGTGTTTCTACAACTACAAAAAATTGAAACGTTTTTGCATAATTTAGACTCCCTGTAAGGCGTCTTTATTAGCAGATTAAGAAGTTAAACACACCACACTTAGGGGGTTTCTGTGGGATAGGAATAAAAAATGGGCAATTTTAAGGAGATTGTTAGATTATAGTTCCACGTTCTTAATAAATGTCAAATTAGTGAAATCATTGAAAACTAATAGATACCAATAAATGTTGCAGCCATCAATTATTAATAAAGTTTCTACTTTTAGTAGCAGCTAATATATTAATAATTATTAAACATTGATTTGAAATCAGCTTAATTTTTCCCCACTACAGACTACCTCATGTTAAAAAGGAAAAACTTGTTGGTGCTGTCACATCCTCGAAAGAAATTGAACCCGGACTCCTGGATTTACACACAGTACTGTTACCACTAATCGTAAGTTACCATAAGCTTAGCTTATGACGTTAGACCAAACATCAAAGTGGTATTTTTTCTACCCTGTATCATTTACTTTTCATTTGTCAAATAATTTCTTTTTCCAATATTCCCCTAGATAAAAATGTTCAGTCTCTCAGAGTCTCTGCAAGCGAGACTCGAGTCTCCGTCTCTCATCGAGTCTCTCTGATGTCGCTGATTGAGAGACTGTCAAAAAAACTGTTTAGCGTCTCTGAACGAGAGAATCGAGTCGCTCATAGAGAGATTCTCATATCGTATCCACTCTCTGAACGAGAGACTCGAGTCTCCCAATTTTTCGGTTTTATTAATTCAGTCTCTCTTTTATCGTTCGAGTCTCTCATACAGAGACTGTGAGAGATCCCTAAAAACACCTGGGCAATAACCGAGAGACTGTGAGAGACGCTCTCAAAGACGCTGAAAGACTCTGAGAGACTGAAAATTTTTGTCTAGGGTCTTATATGCAAAAATTTAAGTTGTACGAGATTCCAACTAATTGTAATAGTTGATGATTATTACAGAAGGTGATAGGATAAATGAGCGATTTCAGTTTGTTTTTAACCATATCTATCTCACAAGAAGAATCGAAGCTGAAAGTTAAACCTTTAGTAATTCTTAACAGAAAAGATGGCCAGTTATTTAGGATTCTTACATCGTACATTATGCAAGAAGCCCGAGGGATGTAAATGTACTAATTCAATAGTGTTTATTCAAACATTCGTTACTTTAGTCACGCAATGACGAAGGCGTGATTTTATCTTGCGCCATTCAATAAATAAGATAAACTGACAGTTTCAATTGAAGCAATTCGGTTAAAGACAACATTAATGTGTTATGTTGTCGGCAAACAATAGTCATCTCGATTATTATAAATAAAATACGGTAATTAACTACTGACAGCCGTTCAAATTAAAATAGAAACAAGAAATGACGTGTGAAATCTTTAAGTTAATGACTGTGTGCGAAGTACGTTCATATTTTACGTTCTGCTAGGACTAAATGCGAATAAATCAATTTAATATAAGTACGTAAAAAGATGAAGACAAACATGTAACTTTCTTCTTTGTCTCGTAAAGTTGAACTGTCTTCTTTCGGAAACCAAAATATTTCAACAATATTGAAATTAATGGGCTGGTAAGCATAAAAAATTGTTTCACATTTTATAAGTGTTGTTGGCAACTGGACGATGCATTAGCACCCTGCAGGGAACCCT